TATACCTATGTATAAAATAGAAGCGTCTGCTGTAACATTGTAATGAATATCTTTTGTTAATTTCAGGGTTATTTGCATGGTATTAAAACATTAACCATTTCAAAAAAATTCCCTTTGTTATAGAATAAGGGTGACAAACGAGCACTCAGTTCACCTGATAGTAAGTGGATCCTGTGGTCCATAGACATCTACATTTATCCTCGATTAAGAATTAAAACGCAGATGCGTTGTCATCCCTGAGGACTAAGATGGAATGCCTCGTTTCCAGTAAAAAGGGTCTCCGGATCTCTACACTCACCATACGAAACATAGCAGTATTAAGCAGCTATTTTACGCTGGTAGGCTCCTCCCCTATTTTGTGTGGGTGTGGTGTGTGTGGTGTGTGTGTGTGTGTGTGGGGGGGGGGGGGGGGTGTATTCGTAATGTAGCTCGAAATGTTTCGCTGTAAATTTCACAATACGCGAGCAAACCAGGTTCGATCCCCGCCGGCACCAATGAAATTGTTAATTGCAATTTTAAGTGCTGATTTACCACGTGCTCGGCGGTGAAGGAAAACATCGTGAGGAAACCTGCGTGTCTGAGAAATAAGAAAAAAACAATATTTCGAAGACATGTGAAGTTCGCCAACACGCATTGGCAGCGCGGCGGGCTATCCCTTGCCCTAAAACCCTCTCTGAAATGAGAGGAGGCCTGTGCCCAGCAGTGGGACGTATATAGGCTGTGACTTTACTTTTTTACTTTATATATATATATAAGAGATATATAGTTACATATTGTATATATATATATATATATATATATATATATATATATATATATTTCTTATTAATATATAATATTAATAAGAAATGTATTACAAAAATATTCTTATCTTTTTAAATAAGTTAAAATAAAGTACGTAGTTAAGTAACATAAATACATCTAAATAAACCGAAACCAAATATCATACATTGATGGAATGCGCCATTACAAGTGCAATGGCATTGGTAAATAATATATCAACTTCGTAATAGATAAAAACTTCCTGCATATTTTACCTAGTCATCACTGCATCTTGTGGAGGGCCACCCAATAGGCAATCCGCTTACCAGTACAAATTCTGCCATTCAAGAGGCGCAAAAACTGAAATCCATCTACAAACTCTAGAATGATACGCTTATGTATATAGTATTACCGCCAAAAAGCACGCTTTAGATTTGGATGCCTTAAATTTTTATTCATTATGTAATTTCTTTCGATTTTTGTCGGTCCTTTGCGTAATTGGTCAATCACAATAACATAGAACTCTTTTCTATAACTTTAACTTTAGTTTTAGTTATTTAGCTTTAAGTTTTCGTCTCAAAGTTAAAATATTGAACCCACATCTCATCGACGACCGTGCAATATATAAGTCAATGCGTGCAACATACTCGACAAGATTCTGAATCTTGTTTATTATTTATTACCTTAGTTTCTACGTCTAAGATAGAATGGCTGTCAACCTTATTTTGTAGGAAGATTGGCGTCGCCGGAAACACACATACAAACAATTACGTCGTATTATCAGTTATCACTATATACTACAAACATATTATGATTAATGTTTTTGACACATAAATATTTCTTTATTTTTGTTTCTAATATTCACAAAATATAAATAGTTTCGACTCACTGGTTGTAGACTATGTCTCCTTTATTTAAATTCCATTTCCCGCTGTTCTTTCATTATTGCACAATTTGCCATTTTTTAAATGACTTGCATGCAGATGCAGATACAGACACGAAAAGTGCAAACGATTGTGTTGGCATTTATACGTGTGAAGTACGTATTATAGTATTCTATGGTCTAAGATTATTACTATATTTTGATAGGCAATGCCAAGTTAACAATGTCAAAGCTAATCAATCATAAGCATAACTAAAAACAAATACACAAATGGAAATACGGTTTAGTCCCTTGCAGGAGTCCGCAGCCGCAACACCGCCGCCAAGCACCATGCTACGCACCATCACCACGATAATATTTTATTTTATGTAGAATAAGGGTGATAAACGAGTACACAATTCGTCTGATGGTAAGTAAATACTAGTCTATTAACATTTTTAAATATGTAATATAATGATAATTGTTAGTCAGCTGGATTGAGTCTTAACTTTACAACTGGTACTGCCATGTGTGACAACTGGTTTACAACTGGTGCACCAACATTGGAGTGTTCTAGCGTAGCATATGATGGAAAACGACGTGCAAAACATAACTTAATCATCTGTCTGTCATCATTCCATAGAATGCTCACAATATGGCTGGCACTTTTCTTAAATAGAAAAATACATGCTATAGACACGATGCGGCACAAATAGATGGACTGGAAAACCACTTTCGTGTGGGGTAAGTCAAAATAACTAAGGCTTTTTAATAGTTGCGAGGAATCCCATTTAAGTGCACATGGATGAAAACACATCTAGAGTTTTTTGGAAGAAAAAATGGAGCAAATAGGCGTGTCGAATCACAAATAAATTTTGTGGCTCACCTATTTATAAATAAATAAATGACTGTGTGTAATATATAAAGTGCTAACAGAAGGCTGAATCTATAACACAGTTATGAAAAATTGCTCCACACTTAAAAGTATAAGCATTAATTATGCATGATTGAAATATAAATGCTATCAGTTAATACCTTGCTAAAAGCACGAGTTACTTTCCATTTAAATTTAATGCTCGAGTAACTTTGTAACTTCGGCTACATAAACTAAGAAATATTCCATCATTAAAAATAAAATGAGTGCGTGTAACCTTAACGTGTTGCTGAAGGAAGACTTATTATTATTAAATTATTTGGGGTATCTATATAATTTTCTCACCTGGTTGGGTTCTATAAATATATAATTATAAATGAAAATGAAAAGATAAATATACATATATATCAATAACATAGAATAAATATAAAAATACATAAATAAATAAAAGCCCAACCAGATGGAGGCCCTCGGCAGGGGAGACCAAACGGCCGAGGGTTAGGGGGGAAAGGGAAAGAAACCGGCGGACGATGCGGGCGGTATCGAGGAGCACCGCCTTCTGCATTTGAGCCCGGAGCGGTCGGCCACGTAGTCCCAGTCGCCTCAGATGACCCGAGAGGCTGACTGGGATTAGCCCGTTTGCAGAGACGACTACAGGAATAATTTCGGTCGGCAGACCACCCCACATGTCAGTCACCTCGTGAGCCAGGCCCAGATATTTTGTTTGCTTGTCTGTTTCGGCTTTCACGAGGTTCTCGTCATACGGAATGGTAATGTCGACCAAAAATATCCTTGACTGTGCCCGGTCCATCAGCACAATATCAGGCTTATTCGCAAGAATAGTCCTGTCTGTGATGATGGCCCGGTCCCAATAGAGCCTGGCGCGATCATTTTCGAGCACGGCTTCCGGCAAGTACTTGTAATACGGCAATTTCCGATCCACGAGACCGTATTTCAGAGCGAGCTCCTGGTGAAGAATTCTGGCTACTAGGTTGTGCCTGTGCAAGTACTCAGAGTTAGAAAGCGCCGAACAACCGGAGATGACATGCCTAAGTGACTCACCGGGATGGCGATAAGCTCGACAGATGTTCACGGTGCCATCCTTTAGGATGTATCTCCGATAGTTGTTGGTCTTAATAACCTGATCCTGTATTGCACAGACAAAACCCTCGGTTTCCCCGAAGAGATCACCAAAGCGTAGCCAGTGGAGGGAGGCTACTGTGTCTACGAAAGGCTCATGTAGAGCCTTGTAGAACCTCCCGTGGAGCTCCTTCTCCTTCCATACGTTCTCCCGGTCGGAAATTGTCTGCACTGCCGGGTCTTGCCATTGCTCGTTGGCTAAGGATAGAGGGGTAAGTCCTTTATCACTAGAAATGACGTCCTTATAGAATGGATCATCCGATCTCGCCAGGAAGTAATTACGGAGGCTGCACACTTCGCGATTATGCATGGTGAGCGCGCTCAAGAAGCCACGCCCACCATGCTTTCGCGGCAAGTACAGCCTCATTACCGACGATCTCGGATGATGCATCCTGTGGGACGTCATGGTAGTGCGGACTTTTCTATCCAGGGCGTTAAGTTCAGTCTGAGTCCACCTGAGTATGCCAAAGGTATACATGAGGACAGGCATGACCCAGCCGTTATATGCGTGTGTCTTATTCACACCGGACAAAAGGCTGTTAAGTACTTTGGTCAAGCGTGCATAAAACACGTCGCAAACTGACTGTTTCATACCAGCCTCATCGATACCGATGTTCTGTGACATACCCAGGTATCGGTATGTTTCAGCCTCGGAAAGGGTCCTTAAGTTGACGGGCATAGATAAGTCTATGCCCTCAGAGTTAGCAACCCTCCCCCTTTCAACATGGAGGACCGCACACTTATCCGTTCCCAGCTCCATTCCAATAGAATTGCTAAATTCACAAGTGATGTTTAGCAATTCCATAAGATGGGAGCGACTGGAGGCGAATAACTTGAGGTCATCCATATAGAAAAGGTGGGTCACTTTTGTACCTCCTTTCCGAAGCTGAAATCCCCTCCCGGAGCCCTCCAGTAAAGTACTGAGAGGGTTCAGGGAGAGGCAAAACCAGATTGGACTCAGACAATCGCCCTGGAAGATACCCCTTCTTATCCTTATGTGGTTCTCCGCAGCCATCATCCGCTCGCCCAGATAGCAAAGGATCGTACTCCATGACCCCATACACTGCTCGAGGAATTCTCCAACTGTACAGTCAATTTTGTACAGTTGGAGGACTCTCTTTAGCCATGTATGGGGCACCGAGTCGAATGCCTTTCTGTAGTCTATCCAGGCGGCGGAGAAATTCCGACGGTTGCGTTTCACCACTTTGCCAATGACCGCGTCAATGAGGAGTGGTTCCTTGGTTCCACGACCACCGCCCCGGCATCCATTTTGAGCGCGTGACATCACCTGATTTAGCTCCAGGTGACGAGTGATTCTCGCGCTCAAAATGGATGTCAGTGTCTTATATATGGTGGGTAGACACGTGATGGGGCGGTATTTGCTCGGGTCTGTGGTATCCTGATCTTTAGGAACCAAATGAGTGATCCCAGTAGTGAAGAGGCTCGAGAGCGACTTCTGATCGAGATCCTCTTGAAACTGTCGGGCGAGCACAGCGTGACACACTACGAACCCCTTCAGCCAGTAATGATGCAGCCCGTCGAGCCCCGGACTTTTCCAGTTCGGGGCCCTGCGGACCGCCTCAGCCACGTCTTCAGGCGTTATGGTGACGGGGTCCATAGGCGTAACACTTGCACTCTGGCTCGCCACAACTTCCATCCAAGGGCCCTCGCTGTGGTTTACGGGCTCTGACCACAGGCCACGCCAAAATGCGACAGTGTCAGCCTGATCCGGTCCTGGGCCCGCTCCACATACCTCTGGTCGCTCCAATGATTTATAGAGCCTCTTCTGATCACTCTGGTAGAGACGATTTTGGTTGAACCGCCTTGACCTCTCGCTAAATCGTCGAATCCGCTTCCCCCAAGCAGCGATTTTTTGCTTCAGGTCATCTATGCGCTCCGTTAGTTTTTGCGTGATATCCGGCTGGAACAAACTGATATTTGTCCCAGCAAACGCCATCCTAACGGTGCGCATAATCCTCGGTCTATTATTACCCGACCTGAAGCTTGTCAGTCTGCCGATAAGGGCTCTTGCCTTTGCGATACGGTCCTCAATTCTTTTTCTCCAGGCTGGGATGGCGCTACTTTTTTGAGTAGCACGTCCAGCCACGGGAAGTTTGGCGCCAATAATGCGGCATACTGCCAGTGCGGCGCCAAAAAGAATTGAATCCGTCTCGCAAAGGTCCCGGCTGGCTTCCAAATAGGTCACCAGCATTGGGTTAAGAGCCCGCACGACAGCCCGATTTCGCTTGCTAAGGGGTATGCGGGGAAGTCGCGGTAGATTTTCGAGAGGCATGCTGCGCGTTTATTATTAAATTATTATTATTATTATTATTTAACAGGCCAGCAGTTGGAACAACTTGTAAAAACCTCTCCTAGTTTCAAATGTGTAATAGTTCTATTGTATAAATATCAGTTGTTTATCCAATCCGTTCTTAAATTGGTTAAATATTGACATTTATTTCTATATTTATTTAATTGTTATTGTTTATTGACTAGTGAACCGCTTTGACTTCGCCTGGGTAGGAGGATCTATTAATGTGGCCTTAATTAGATTTAAGATAATCAAAGAACATTAATTTTACAAAAAAAAATTGTTTTTTCAAAAAGCACTAAAAGTTTTTCTGATAAAATATAGCATATTTCTGGTATTGTTCGATATTACAGACAGACACCTTAATTTTATTAATGGGATAGATTACTTAGATTGATAAAATATTTATCATAAAATTTATAATCATTACTTTTAAACTAACTATGTAATTTTAGAATAAAAATAATTTTAAGTATAATGTATACATAATTGTATATTATATGTGTTATAAACATTCGCGAAATTGTATGTGTGGAAACTGCTTAAACGGACCATAGATTCCACTGTTACTTCCGTCGCAACGGCTTTACTTGCTTTCCGAGGTTTACGGAGGGAGAAACATTACCTCCGTGCGACTACTAAGAATTTCTTGATAGAAATACGCAATAACTATTTTATTGACCTAACCCGGCCAACCCGCTCAAACTCAAACGAGGCAGATACATTAGAACATACTTCTGTTTCGCAAAGACTTTGCACAAGCATAAATTTGGTCAAGTTGCACGAAAATAAGCTTTCCTACAATAATTTAAAAAAAAGTTTTACCTATAATGAGAGGGGTGTGACGGGGAATTTTATAGTACGTGAGCAACTTTGTTGCAAAAAGCAGGATGTCCACGGCTGTGTTATTATTTGAAGTATAAAAGGTTCAGTATTTTTACAGGCTGTGTGGCATTTCACAACATTTTTCACTAGTCTTTGGGACTATCAACACATATGTGACTTACTACCTTCTGTTTGAATGTTTTAGATAGTAGTCGGTGCCTGATTTAGAGTTCTGACAGCCCTAGGTCAACTATGAATATACTCCTCCCACCAGCCTGTACTGTCTGTGCCAGCCCAGCCCACGAATATTTTTACTAGATTTTTATATTTTACTAGCTTTTCACCACGCAGTTTCACCCACATTAAAACACAATTTCCTGATAGTAAGGGACGACCATCGCCCATGAACAACTGCACAGATACGTTACTGGCTTTTTAAAAGAAGAAAGCTCGTTTCTTGAAAGTCTCCAAGTTGTATCGGTCCGAAAAAATCGCCTGTAGTAGATCATTCCACAGAGAAATCTTGAGAAAAAAAAACTCCTAATAAACTGCACAGTCATAGTGGCGACCCTTGTTAGGAGTCTTGCGACTTGTAAAGTTGCAAACGGGGGGGCCGGCATGAAGTACTGTCTCGCTCTTCTGAGCACGCCAAGCTTTTTAGCGGTCAATGTAGCCTTTTACTTTTATGTGACAGAATAACTGTACGTCATTCGACATATCGATGCCGAGGATTCCGATGCTAGCTGTGGTAGCATGTGGGAGTGCCCTAAAATTGAGGAGATACGACAGAGGGGTTCTCTTTAGTGTTAAACGTGCAAACCTGTATCTTCTGAAGTTTAATCTGGACTAGAGTCGTCCCCAATCAGAGATTTTGCTTATTAAAAACGACGACTTCAGACTCAAGTTTGTTACGATACTCGATATACGTGTTCCCGAGAAATATTAACTCGGTCGGTGAAAAAAGCATCACCAGTGTGACAACCAGTAACAGTAACATATAATTGATATACAGAAGAAACAGCGTAGCACGCAGCCTTGTGTAACACTAGCATTATTAGAGTCGTAGTCGGTGTATACACCCTGTACCACGACCTTGATGCTCTGATCTGCTAGTAAACTGATGATCCAATTGCACAATTTCTCGGGAAGTCCGTAGAAAGAAAGCTTCTAAAGAAGTGCTTTGTGCTAAAGCCCATTGAAAGCCTTCGCTATGTCCAAAGTAAGGACCAAGGCCTTCCTATGTGGCTCTACTACGTCTTCTTATCTATGATTCAGGTAAATTAGAAGATTAGAATCATCAATGCGTTCACTAATGAGCTGATGGTCCTCGAGGTAACTTATGAGCTGGCAGTTTATAATGAATTCCATTATTTTGGAAAACATGAAGGCGAATGAGGTGGGACAGTCGGGGGCAAACTGTCTTTCATAAGTTCAGGAATTCACCTATGGAGAAGGAGTACTGAAAAAGATTCGTTGGAACTGGTGGTAACTACGTAGCACCCGTTTTCAGCACAATAGGAGGGACACCATCAGACACACTCGACTTGTAGACGTCCCGGGGGAGGTATGCTTTATACATTGAGCGCTGTTTAATCAGCCCATCCAGCATGGAGCAACCACACCACAGGATGGTCGGCAGTGTATACACCCCGTTATCAATAGTCGAATTGGACTCAAAAAGAGAACCTCGATCGACTTCTCATTTGCGCCATGGGCCAGTGAGTCGTTCTCCTTGTGCAGAGATGTAACAGATGGTTGACAGAAGTTCCCTTGGACAGCTTTGGCAAGATATCTTAATAAAATTATAGTTAGAGAAGATAGCTTGAGCAGTTTAAAATCTTTGTATCACGTTCAGCCAGTCAACGAAAGACGAAAGGTACCAAGTAGTTTTCCAAGGTAATTCAGTCTTATTTTTACATTCTATTTAGTTGTTTTGTACCAAACATAAAGAAAGAGCAACAAGTAAAATGCTTGCTGCACTTACTCCGTTATTTTATTGAGAATATTATACCAAATTTTATTCTGTACATAAGTGTTGCAAAGGCAAACTCAGCGCCCTTTCAAGCCGTGCGCCCTAGGCTCCAGCCGAGTTAGCCTGTGAGTAAATCAGGCCCTGATGGTAGTCTCCACGATAATACATTAATATTAAGGATTATGCTACATACTAGAGTTCAGTAACATAATCTTAAGAGTATGGACTCGAGTTCGATCCCCATCGTAACCAATATTTTTTTATCTTAATTATAGGAGATTAAAATATGGAGAGTGGAAGGAATCATCATAAAGAGATAAAAATATATTCAGGGGAATTTAATGTTCGTCAATCGCACAGCAGCAACGCGTCAATCTCGTGATGCTTCATAATCCCCTCAAAAATAAGAAAAAGGCGCTTACAGGTTGTTATTTTACTTTACTTGAATTTTAAGATCTAAATCATGCTTTTTGGTATTGCGTGATGATTAAAATAAATCTAATATGGGAGAAAGGTAACAACGTTAATTTTATTATTTAACACCTTAATAAAAGAACTTAAACTAAAAACTTAAACTATCAACTAAAAACTTAAACTATCAACTAAAAACTTAAACTATCATTCACATTACACTCCTCACAGTATAATGCCAACAAAGCTGGCTGCCTTTCCTCGCTGAATGATTATACTAAGCCTTCGAATAAGAAAACAACCAGCGGCGACGACAAGTGGCAGATATAGGACCTTTAGAACCGTCAGCATACATGGACCCTCAGGGCCGTTGATCTTTAATTTATAATTTTGAGAACTCCGCAGTTTTCGCAGTCACTGAGTATTGTTGATGCAAATCGCAGATCGCTACACAATAAGTCCATCGTTCGAAGCGTCTATCCGACGTGACCGCGATTACGACCGCTCGCTTTCCGCGCCATGAGCACTAGACTCGTGAATTTTTATAACACCCTGGTTGCCTAAGTGCCATTTGATTTCATGGTTCCTTTTGAAAACGCGTTTCGCAAATCTTTTCGGGTAAACTTAAGAATTATAATAAAACATTTCTTACAAATATAAAATGTATCATCTCATCCATTAGGTGTCGTTAGATTTGAAGATTGAAATATAGGTTCTAGCGGCCGACAAAAGGTAAAAAGGACCTAAAATACCGGTGGTGGAAAAATCAAGAGGATGATAAGAGAACACAAAACAAAATTGAGTAAGGCCGTCGATTTTGCCACTTTTTGAAGAAAAAATATTTTCATATTTTGATGGCTTATAAAAAACAACATAGTGGGTAAATAGTAATGAAGGTATTTTAATTAGGTTATAATATATCTCTTAAACTCATACCATATTCTTAAAATTATGTTACTTGTACATTTAAAAAAATACAATAAATTCGTCCAGACCCCCAAATTTAACGAAAAACATGATGTCTTTTTGGCACTTACACTATAACACTTATATTTTTTGTAATGAACATTTAATTAATTTGTGACTATCTAAAATGTCTCAATGTTAAGCTACTACATCGTGCTTTGCGTGTCTTTAAAAACGCATTTTTTTATAGATTTATTACTAATTAAACTTAAGTTCCATATTTTCGCTTTTATGTTACTATTTTGTATGTTACCAAAATTTTCCCTTAAAAAGCATAGCAGCACAGTTTGGTTACTGAGTGGCATGTGTTTATGTTAGTAAGTGGCAAAATCTACGGCCTTACCCAATTATGTTTACTTAGTAAATGATTGTTTATCAAATCCTCAACTTTAATAATTCTAAACACAACATCAACTTAATCGTCATTATTACAGTTGCAGCCCATCACAAATCCTCTGCTGAATATACGACTCCCCAAGGAACGCCATCAAGTACGGTCCTGAGTCGACTACATCCATTGACTTCGGAAATTTTGGTTTCACTATATTACCCATATCTTAGTGCTGGCCACACACTTCGCAAATGTTGTAAAAAACGCTTTCCCAAATTCTACTCGACTGCCAGAGAGTGCAATGGAGGTATGTCCTCTGGTTCTAGATCATAACCCAAGCAATAGAGATAAGACGAAGACAGTAGCGCTACCCCACAATTTTTTACGTGATATTTATTTATTTATATATTATATTAAATATGTACAACCAATACGTGTTGCCATTGATGACTTATGGACCTGAGACGTGGTCTTTCA